GAATTTAGAAGCAATTCAAATAATGGCTTTGAATGTCAGATTTAAAATTTTATACTTCATGTGTAAGTAAATTGCCTTGTTAGGAGACAATCAGAAGTTAGAACTTGGGCCAAGATAGTAGAGGCGGTGAGTTTAAAGGCAACAGTAAATTTTTTTTTTAACAGTAAATTTTTAAGAGTAGTGGTACAAACACAGATTCATAGATTCAGAGAATGGATGATGGTTGCCAGCGGGCAGAGGGTTTGGGAATTGGGTGAAAAAGATGAAGGGATTGAGATGTAAAGCTTGTCAGTTACAAAATAGTCATGGAAATGTAAAGTATGGCAGAGGGAATATAGACAATAATATTGTAATAACTACATGTGGTGTCAGGTGGGTACTGGAAATAACCAGGGGGAACTTAGTAAAGTATATGACTGTCTAACCACTATGCACACTATGCATACACCTGAAACTAATACAAAATGATACCAAATGTAAACTGTAACTGAAATAAGTAAATAATAAAAAAATCAATAATGGTATCTCTTATATAGAAAAATAATTTAAAATAATGCATTTATTTAAATACCAAGCTAAAAAAATAAATACCAACCTATGGGGAATTTAAAATGTAATTAAGTTTATAAAAATTGGGTTACAAATTTTATTAACACATTTGTGGTGAGCAAGAATGTGTGTTATGAAAAATATGTCCCATTTGATTTATAGGAAATTTATAAGACTGGCATTTATAAGACTGGCATTTATAAGATTTATAAGACTGGCATTATTTTTAACAAAGCTCAATTTTTCCCTTTGGGTGTAAAGTAACCATACTTATTATGGAAAATACTAGATGCCCCCTGCAGGAAGATTCCTGCAATTGGGCTTCCTGCTGTGGTGGCTGCCCCACCTGCTTTCCTCCCTTCTCCCCGCCCCACCTACTTCCCTTCCTTCTCTGCTGCCCCACTTGCTTGCTTCTACTCACCTTCGCTACCTTCTGCAGCGCTAGGCTGCTTTCTACACCATCTTCAGTATTCCTTCTGGCCTCAATATGCAAATTAACTGCCATCTTGGTTGGGTTAATTTGCATACTCGCCCTGATTGACTGGTGGGAGGTGCTTATGGGTGTGGCGAAGGTGTGGTCAATTTGCCTGTTTCTCTTTTATTAGGTAGAATAAGATGAACTGTATGTAGAAAAAATAATCATTCATAATATCACCAGAATAAATTGTTTAAATAATACTGTATTTCCTTTTAGTCTTTTTTTCCTTATTTACTAGGAGTGACAAACTACAAAGCAGTTTTGTATATCTTTGTTGTTGTTTTTTTAGCATTATGACATACATTTTTATAACTCTGAAGACTTCTCCCTACACAGAAACTACTTCCTCTTCCCTCTTCTACCCATTTAAAAAAAAGTTAGCCCTCCAATACCAGGTTTAGCTTTTGATCACTATTGTCATGAAGAATCTTCTGATGATTATTGGAGCCCTCCAGCTCTACTTCTGCTCATTTTTTTATCTGAAACTGCCGTGCTAATCTGACTACTAGTCATCATTCTGGTTCATTAACAGAGCCCTTTACTATTTACTCCATAGAAACTGTCTGATCTTTTCTGCAGTAGAAATTAGTGCCAGAAGTCTGCTTTAAGGAAGTAGGTCAGGCCAAAGAAATGTATGCCTCTCCAAATTTCCAAGTGCTCTCTCACATTTCCCAGCCCCCTTAGAGTTAGAAGGAGCTGTTTGAGGAGTTCTGACTAAAGAGAATCGGTGTTTATTTCTTCGGTTTTGCTAACAGGTGAATTAGCAGCTCTCTCTTCCCCTGCCATGGAGGTTGTGGAGGCCCCAGACTCACGTGGATAGCAGCAAGACAAAAGCAGCCTGGATTACTGATCCAGCTGCCTTGGAGTTTCCTAATGGCAATAATTTGTGAGTGAGAAATAAGTGTTGATGTGGTAAGCTATGGAGATTTAGGTGTGTCTGGCCTATTGTAACTAATGCATGATGCTAAATTCAGTCATCATGTTGGACAATGTGTCTTTGGATGCCCTTTACAGTCATGCCCATCCCTGCACCAGGAAGCCGTATCCTGGCTTCCTCTTGTTCATTCTATAAGGCTTATCTCAGCTTTGATTGCCCCCATTCTCCTTCCTGGGTTGGTTGCCTCTTCCACATGTTTATGCCATATATAACTATAAGGATTAATGATTATTGGATGTTTAGGGATTGATGTAATTATTTTGTGGATGTTGATAATGTGCACTTACTTTTAGAACAATTAGCATAGCTCAGTAGTTTTAAAAGTTCGGTCTGAGTGTCTCTGAGACCCTTTCAGCAGGTCTGTACAGTCAAACCAATGGTATATACAAACAGTGGTGGCTAAAACTGCTGGCATCTTAGCAAATCAAGACAATGCCATCAAACTATACCAGGAGTCTTTATATCATTCATTGTATTCTTCACAGGGATAAAGATCTAACTTCATTTAAGAATTCCCTTATTGAAACATTAAAAATTGTATGTTACATAAAGTTTTCGTGCTGAGCACATCATCAGTAATATTCTGAATGACAAACAGAAATACAAATAAGCACCTTTACCTTTTCTGCATACTGAATTAAAATGTCTTTAGGACAGCATTTGAACAATTGTATGTTTTACATGCTGAAGTCACCACTTTTGTCATGAAACAACATTTTATTTGAAAAGAATAACTGACAAACTACGATTATTTAGAATTGGTATTTGGCAGGCATTAACTTGAAAATGAATAAAGGAAACCTATTGCAAGTGAAACAAATGACAATATTCACTGCTGATGATAAAATTTGAAATTTGTCATGAAAATTAGAATTTTGGTAAATTTATATGTGCCTCTCATACTTAAAGACTTTATATTAATGAGTGTGTTATATTTTAAGATATATTTTATTTATTGATTTATTTATTTTTAGAGAGAGGAAGGGATAGGGATAGGAAACATCAATGACAGAGAAACATCAATAGGCTGCCTCCTGTATATCCCCTCCTGGGGATTGGGCCCACAACCCAGTCCCTTCCTTATCATGGACTTCTGTGATGGTCTAAGAGGAAGAGTGATATAGGATAAATGTTAGTTTTCATCCTTGTCCAAGGTTGTTAAAATCTATGTCTCCATGTCTTCATCCAAATTATAATAGTAGTATAGTTCATAGAACATAAGGATTAACTGGGATAAGATATGTAAAGTTATTAGAATTGTTTCTGACACATAGTAAGAACTCAATAAATATTAAGTTTTATTATTTAATTTCTTATTGTAGTAAATAATACAATATTTGATGTTAGTTATAACCAAATGGGTTAAATAATCAGGTAGATAATAACTGAATTTAATATGCCAAGACTTCTTTAAGAGTCTTTGAACACTTAAAAAAACTAGGATTGTGAATGTTGGAAAATAACTTATAACTGCCATTAAAAGCAAATTTATGAAACTCTGGAGCAACTAACTTATATGGTTGTATATTATATATATTAATTTCAGGTTTTATATAGAAAATGGTTATAGGTAGAGAGTAAAATCTATATTTTCTGGGAGGAGAAAATTCTATAGGTAAAACATTTCCTTTTATATATCCAATCTAGGTTTTGGAAGCTTAAATAAAATTTAAACACTGTATAAGGACTCTTGTTAAGCCTCTGAGTCAAATTTTTAGTAAAGACTGATAAAGATTTCTACCCTTGAAAGATGAATATTACAAACTAAAGTCACTAAATTTATGAAGATTGTATGGTTTATAAAACAGAATCCTGTGCTCACTTCTACAAACTGAGACCAAGAACATGGCCAGTAATTAGCATTTCTCACGTATAAAACAGCCAACTACAAGTAGGTATGCAGGTATGGATGCAACTGCCCTCCAGCCTCCAGTGACCTTCCTTTCTCTCAGTCCTCAGCCACAGCTTCTAGAGCCACCTCCTTGGTCATTCATCATCCACTTCTGAGACCCACAAATGTATGGTTGACTGAGTCGCTAATGAACCATGAGCCTTCAAATCAGCCAGAATTAATTCCTCTGAGGTGGAGGATGCTGTCACAGCCTGGTCAACCTGAATCTGCAGATCTCCCTTACTGCCTCTCTTTGGGTCTTCATATCCATGGGATCACATGACCCTGGTCCATTTGTGCCACTTCTGTGAATAATAGGAGGAGAAACAGAGTGCATCCTTATCTCTTGAAGTTGTAAAACCAGCACAGCAACAAAGCCCTTTTCTAAGAAATTCAGAAGCCATCCTGAGATGAGTGAGATGGCAACCTGCACTCCATGAAAACATCCTTGGCCCCAAAAGGGAGGCACATCCTGGGCTCTATCTGCATGCTCCACAACTCTTTTTCTTCCTGATAAACACTTCCTAGACCCAGAGCTGACACTCATGAGAGGACAGACAATCACCTGACCAAACTCCACAAGCTGTTCGGCCCCATCCCTGGCTGATGCAGCCTCATCCTCAAATGTGACTAGGAGCCTCTCTTGCCCACTGCATGCCCCTGATCTGGCCCAGCCTCTCCTTCCTGCCTCCTGGTAGCCTTTTAACTGCCATGTTGCCCTTTCCCAAGCAGTTGACCAAGTGGAAGCAATAACAGAAAAATAAAAGAAGAAAGTTACCTGCAAAAGACTAATAAAACAAACAAAAAGAAAAATCTCATATTGAACAAGAATAATCTACTTTTTGTTCCTTTATTTTTTTAAATTTATCTTTATTGTTGAATGTAAAATACATTAGACATTTCCATGGCTCATAGCTACTTCTTTTTACATATGTTACAGATAAAGAATTTCTACAGAAGCCTGTATCAACGTTGACGAATTACTGAGTGCACCGGGTTGTTTTACCCAGTTTTGCTGATGGTGAAATTCTTTAACTGAAAGAGCTGATTAGCACCCAAATAAGAGACTCTAATTTAGGGCCTACATTCTGACCATATTTAATCAGCTTAACAATAACCCACAACCTTCGGACCAACTCATTCTGACCATATTTAGTTCACAATCATACCCCTTTCACAAAAACTATGACTTGCGAGCAGATAGAGCACATTCCAACCCACCTCTCAGAAGGTGTTGGTTCCAGTCTCTCAGAGTATTGCCTGGCAATTTGCACTAGACAAGAACATACTTTCATAATTCTGCTAAGTCTGAATGCCTAAAACCAAGAGCTGTATTTCACAATGTGGGTGCATGAAATAGAAAACAAATAGTAATTGTCAGTTTTTGATAAGATTGCTTTCTTAACTTAGGCCTTCCTTGACTAAACATGTAATTTCTTCTTTTGTAGCGTCTGCTTAAAGTTCATAAATACTCCCTCAGGACCATACTTTTTTCTAAACAACCTTTGTATAAGCTAATTGAAAATGCACGTTACATAAGGCTTAGGAGTAATAGGTTAAAATGACCTAAGATAGTTTCTACAAGATGCTTTTCTCTTAAATACCAGTCTTGGAGGCAATCCAGTTGCGGTAGGCGGTCACTCGCATATAGACACCTGGCTTGTTGATTTTACCACATTCTATACCCCAGCTCACTACTCCAACAAGGTACCAAATATGTCGAGAATTGGGATAAACCAGTGGTCCTCCGGAATCACCCTAAATAAAACAAAGAATATTTATCATTGTGAAAATTTACTCCCAGGTACTTAAATTACCCTGAATGAAAAGTCAAGATGATGTTTTGTGTTTCATGCTTCATAAAGATCATAGGGAGGTATATGATGTAAATCCATTCTTCATCCTTAATTGTAACTCTGGCCAGAATGTAACTGTGATCATCCAGAATATATTCTCTGGGGCTCTTTAGAATTGACCTGAACCTTGAAGGCATGAACTGATAAGTTACAAGGTCTAATTCCACGAGAAAGCTTTGGGAGACATATATTATTGATAAGCTCGCACTATAGGGCCTCCTATCTGAGAAAAGTAGCCAGACCCCTAATCATGAGGAGGCTAAAAAAATAAGTAAAAATGAGCTGAAAGTAATTGAAAACTTTCTGAGACTGATTTCCTTTTTTCTTGTTGTTAATCCTTTTCTGAGGATATTTTTCCAATGATTTTTTTTTAGAGAGAATGGAAGAGAGGGGGATAGAGAGAGAGAGAGAGAGAGAGAGAGAGAGAGAGAGAGGAATAGAGATTGCCTCCCACAGTGCATGAGATGGAGCCTGCAACCAAGGTACATGCACTTGACCAGAATCAAATCTGGGACCCTTCTGTCCATGGGAAGACACTCTATTCACTTAGCCAAACTGGCTAGGACCTGAGACTGATTATTCATTGAAATATGATCAAGGTTATGGACTGTGATGCTAGACTACCTATTTTGGATGCCAGCTTTCTCATTTAATAGCTGTGTGACCTTGCTGAAACCAGTTTGGCTCAGTGGATAGAGCATCGGTCTGCGGACTGAAAGGTCCCGAGGTCGATTCTGGTCAAGGGCATGTCCATTGGTTGTGGGCACATCCCCAGTAGGGGGTGTGCAGGAGGCAGCTGATCGATGTCTCTCTCTCATCGATGTTTCTAGCTCTCTATCCCTCTCCCTTCTTCTCTGTAAAAAATCAATAAAATATATTTTTTAAAAATAGCTGTGTGACCTTGTGTAAATTACATTACCTTCTTCTGCCTCAGTTTCAGTATATATAAAATAATAATAATGAAAGTAGCTACATCACAAAGTCATAATTAAAAGGATTTATATTTGTAAAGGACTTCAGTTTGTGCTTGGTTCAGAGTAAGTCCAACATAAGTGTTTGTTAAATACTTATAAACACACTCGAGGCCTGTTGCACCAAACTTGTGCATGGGGGGCTCTCTCAGATACTTAAATTACCTTGTCCGGCCACACCCCCTCATAATCTGGGACACCTCAGGAAATATCCGACTGCCTGTGTAGGCCCAATCCTACAACCAGCAGTCAGATATCCCTCTTGCAATCCAGGACCACTGGCTCCTAATGACTTGCCTGCCTACCTGCCTGCCTGCCTGATTGTCCCTAACCACCTTTCCTGCCTGCCTTATCACCCCTAACCACTTGCCTGCCTGCCTGATCTCTCTTAACCCTTTTCCTGCCTGCCTGCCTGCCTGATTACCCCTAACCACTCTCCTGCCTGCTTCATCACCCCTAACCACTCTGCATGCCTGCCTCATCGCCCCTAACAGCCTCTGCCTCTGCCCCTGCTGCCAGGGCTTCATTCAAGGAAAGATGACTAGAATGATGTCTGGAAGGTCAATAGGCTGTCGGGCCTAATTAGCATATTATGCTTTTATTATTATAGATGTTACATGTAGGGAAGGATCACTTTAGTGCCACATTGAGGGAGTTTGACAGATTGTCAAAGTACAAATTAACTTAACTATAGAATTCTCTTCATGTTGAAAAATATTCATAAGATAACAGCAGTCAATTATACAGTATATTGTATGTCCAATGTGAATAATGTTCAGACTTACCTGGCAAGCATCAATATTTCCTTCCATGTACCCAGCGCATAGCATCGTGTCCTCCACCAAACCATTGTATGCTTCCTTAGAATTACAAGTGTTTGTGTCGATAATCTTCACAGGTGCTTTCTGAAGTATTGTTGGGTATTTACCTAAAAGAAGTAAACATTCTCAGCAAAAGAGCTGCTCTGAAACAGAGCAAGAGGGAAATTTGATTTTTCCTTTGTGCATAAGACCTATATTTGACACTTGCCATTCTTAGGATGAGAAAGCCCTCTTAGCCCCCCTCTCAGTAAAACCAATGAAAAAGAAATGTTCAGAGAACGGTTTGAAACATCCTCTTAATGCTGCCTTCCTATGTCCTTGCCTCTCTTTTTACATCTTTGGACCAGAACTTTCTCACATAGGCTCTCCAGCTAGAGAGTTTTCACAAGTTGGTCTCCTTAAAATGTTCTAAAGCAAGGCAATTTGCAAAGCCATAGATCCAAGTGCAGCATTTTCTGAGAAGTTGCCTGAGAGTACTGGGCATCCGGAGGTAAACAATGCCTTTGACTCTGTACCTAGATAACTAATGTCTCTTGTTGCCATGTACCTTACTCACTATGTTAAGATTTCACTGGACTTACCATTATATGAAAGTGCTCCCCATCCTGTAACAACAACGCCTTCACCAGGTAGAAACACCTGTGTGGCTTCAGGAAGACAAACCCGATGGACATCATTCCTAAATAAAACTTTTTCAGTGAGCATGACAACTGCAATGTCATCATGATGTTCACCTGGGATGTAGTCTTCATGAATAATAATTTGTTGAACATAATGTTGCATATAGGGGGGAGTTACTTTGGTGCCAAAGCTGATAGTATAGTTTTGTGGATTGAGTGTCCTAAAGAAACAAAAATCGTGTATTTGGTATTTATTTCAAAGTGATAGAAATACAACCTGCATCTATTATACTCCTTTCATGACATTAAATTTTCCTTACTTGATAATTCATTATTAGTGATAGAACCCGACTTGTAAGATAATTTTAAAAACCTTCTTTGACTCCTTTCAATATACACTGTGCAAGGCAATGAAAATACATAAATAAAAATAAGTAAGCCAGGCTTTCAAGAAATTTAAGTCTAATGAAAGATGGCATAAACATAGGCAACTATGATTGCTTAAATGATTGTGTATATAATTAGTGGGACCACAGTTATATACATGCACTAGGACAGTGTTTCCCAAAGTGTGGTACGCATACCTCCAGGGGTACGGGAAGAGTTTGTACTGGAGTTTGGTGGGGATATGCTCTGCACCGGAGTTTGGTGAGGGTATGCACTGCATCGTGCTTAGCTGCGCCTAATTCTATGTTCTCATGAGTATGAGGGGTACTCAACGTTACAAAAATTATAGAAGGGGTACACATATGTCAAAAGTTTGGGAAACACTGCACTAGGAAATGGACCATTTCTTGGGGAAAGTAGCATTTTGGGTGAAACAATAGAGCTAAGTCACATGTGACTACAAAATGACAAGGGGACAGGCCCACGAAGAGGGGAGGGAGGTATAAAATGGGATGATGTGTTTTAGCAACTACAAGTAGTTGCAGTATAAAGTGACATGAGATAAGAATCATGTGCAATACATATGACATAGTATGAATGAATGACTCTTCCCATTGTTATTGGTAAGGTAGGAAAGCCTTAAATTGGTTTACCATATCATTTGTCTTCCAAACCTCCCAGGACACTTTTGAGAATGAAAGGGCGTGCTACTGATAATTAAACTGGGATAATGGAGGCCAACTGGGAATGTACCAAGAACTTTTGGTCCCCCTCGCCTGGGCAACATGATGAACTTACTTTTGAAAGCAGTGAGCTGCAGTCACCAGGTATCTGTCACTGATCAAAGATGCCCCACAGTAGTGTCGGCCATTGACTTTGAGACTTGCTTGCCAGGGCCACTCTCCTTCCCGAACATTGGAACCTCCCTTGACTCTATCATATGTAGCTGATATTCTTGCTCGTCTCCCACAGCCTGTCAGAGGGAGTCAGTTTTGTTCCATTGAGAATAGAAAAATAAGGTTGATTTGATGACAAAGCTGAGAGTGAAGTGAGATATTCTCATATGGTCTGTCTGACAATATCTTACACTGGTAGGAACAGAATCATTAGCAACCCTTGAATCACCTCCATAGAACCTCCAAGACATCTCAGCCCTTGAAGAGTATAAAAGCTGTAGGAGGCATGTAAAGTCATGATTAAGAGCATGGCCTCTGCAACCATACCCCCTGGCTTGAATTCTGTTACCACATTTACAAGCTGGTTGAACTTAGGCAAATTATGCCACTTCTTTGTGCTTCAGTTTCCCCACCTCTAAAATGGGGTAATAATAATAATTAATTTTAGAATTGTTGTGAGGATTAAGCAAGTTGTATATAAAGCACTTAGACCTGTGCCTGGCCAAAAGTAACAAATCTTGACTTATGTTTTAGATCGCCTTATATATTTAAATTAAAAAGTATCTGAACTTACGGCTGTTGATAATCCTTTCAGTATCAGCCTTAGTGGTTTCTGAAATATAACAAAAAAGACATGGTAAATGAAATAGTCCACTGGCCTTGGAACCTATGGAGTGAGATGGTAGGTAGGACTCTCAGGATAAAATGTCAATATGAAGGAGAGAACATGGGTTTACTCGAATTGTTCTTTTACTGTATGTGAATGTGATATGAGTATCATCTTCATAGTACCATGTGAGAGATTTCCTTCTACCTAATTAAAATTGTATTGTATATCATCTGGAGTGGAAAATTGCCAGTGTCTTCCTTTGTAAGAACAGGAAGTCTCCACAAGTGAATCTGATTTTTGTTAGCATACAAACATAACTTTCAGAAAGTGAGCAGTCATAAGAGCAGATAATATGCAGTTTTTTAAAGCTACAGGAGATCCTAAAAATAATAGCAAGACACACCATTATTTCTAGGAACTGTTCAAAGGCTTAGTATCCATTTTTAAATAACAAGTAGCTTTTTCCCCCCCAGAACCAGTTTTAAGGTGTGACATTATGATTTGAGTGTTTTTAATAATTTGAGTGTTTTTAATTGTTCTGATGTAAAACAATGACATTCATCTTTTTAAAAAATAGAGGATCAGCTTTGTTGCTGGTGCTTGTGATATGTGTCCAGATTAAAAGACGAAAGTAATACTGCTGTCATCTAATATGTGAGCTTACCCACAAGCCTAAGAGAATTAGGATCTGTAGTCAAGGATCCTGACTTGTCACTGAGCATCTGCCGTAAGATGCTTTCAATTCTTCTTTTTGTGTTTTCCTTCGTTGATCTGGAAGCCTTGAACATCAGCAATATATGTGCTGTCACGCTGTTTCTATCAGGACTGGAAACAACATAAAGGTGTCATATGTTGCTTAAAAATTACATTTCCTTCTTTTTTTTCTTGATCTTTGATATCTTGATTTCTTCTGATTTTTAGAGGTCTGTGCAGTACCTTCACTTTAATCACAATTATGCTTCTACCTACATTTTACTTGGTAGCAGTATACATGCAGCTATATTATTCACTTTAGAGGATAAATAGTTCTACAAATCTGAAAAATAAGAAAGGCCTGAGGCACAGGGTACAAGAACTGGGATCATTTATTCGGACATTGATTAATCATTTATTGAGCAACTGCTAGACAAACAACTGGGCCATGCGAGGGTGACTAGGACACATTTCCCACCCTCAAGAAATTCCCAGATTTCTAAGAGAGATAAAATATGTATACACATGACTATAATAAATGTGGCAGAAGTGGTAAGATATTTATCTTATCTGTTGTTGATAAGAAAAAAGGTAAGTCCTTTTTTACTTAAAGAATCAGAGAACTTTTCATGAAAGAGGTGACATGCACACTGGCCGTTAAGCATTTTTATTGCTGCTGCTTCATCATCAAGCAGAAAATGTCACCAGGCGGAGCAGAGGAGGAATAGTACTCCAGAATAACTAGAGAGCAATGACATTAATTGGTGTTTATTGGCCGTCTGTGTGTTCTAAATACTTGCTTATCTCATTTATTTTCACACTTAGTCTCCCCAGTGACTGTGCAGCACAGGTGTCATTGTCTTCACTTGATAGACAAGGAAAACTTGAGGTTCTGAGAGGTTACCTTCAAGTGCTCAAGATTGCATAGCTACTCAACTAGGATCCAGATTCAGTACGATTGACTCCACAACCCGGCTCTTTACATGTGCACTCTGTCTCCCTCTGCTCAGTCAGCTAGTGACCACAGTGTCAAAGAGACTGGACTTAGGAAGGCCTGTAATGCTAGCCGAAGGACAGCAGTGAAGAGAAGTTGAGTAAAATCATGCTTGAGGAAGATTCATCTGACTGTGGTGCTCAGGGCTGATTTGTCTGAAACTGGGAAGCACAAGAGGCTGGCTCATGGAATGCTCAAGCAACCTTGAGGGTAGTGTCTGAAGTGGCACCATTATGCTTTGGATCTCCCTAATGAGTTACCATCTTTTGGTGTATAAATCAACAATCATTCCTAGGAAGCATTCAGCTCATGGGAGTGAGAGTTTGGTTATTGTCACAGGGTGTGCCCACATGGGACACTACCTCTCCATCTCTTCCTATAAATAGCTGAAGTTACTAGAAAGATTGCCTTGGTATCAAAAAAGAGAAGTTTTCTGGTCATTGCAGTTTTGTCTGAGAGGTAATTTTAGTCTCCTGTTTCTTTCCAGTACTAAACTTGACCCCCATCGTTAATGCTAATTGAAATCTTGATTTATTGTGCAATTCCAGCAGTTCCATGAGTTCCAGGAGTAGGGGACATGTAGGCAGTCTGGTGGCATTGATGAAGGTAACAGTATGATTTCCTTCATTTGAAATGTGTTTATTTGCAAATTGTTGCATGCATATTATCTTTTTTGATCCCATGCACAGTTTTATGAGTGATGCAGTGTAGGTGTCATTATCAACATTTCACAGACAGGGGAGCAGATTCAAAGTGGTATGGTGACTTTCCTGTCTCTAGGGTTACTAAGTGGCAAAGGCTAGGCTCAGGTTATCAATTTCCTATTCTAGAATTCCCTCTGCTTTTTTCATGCTACTTCAAACCCACATGCAGAGAACATAGCACAGGTATTTTACTTCTTGCTGTGGTGTTGAGAAGGATTGCCTAGGTATCAAATCATGGTAGAGATATATTCTTTTCCATAAGAACTCTAGAACAGTTCTGTAAAGTACTTAGCTAACTTGCAAGAAGGAAGACTGGAGAAGACAAATTCTGTATTTATGCTACTGCTAAATAAAAATGTCAGAACATCAAACATCAGTCTAAGGGACCATTTAATAATGTTTTCTGAACATAAAAAGTTATGAAACCAGAGGGATATATTTTTATTTAATTTAAAAATTGATAACATTTTCAATAGTTCTAATGAACTCAGTTATATTGCCTGATATTTCCTTTGGTTTTATACTGAACAATTAACCTGACACTTAGCTTAGGACAATACTGAATATTAGTAACTCATTGGATAATTATTGTGATATATTTATAGGAGACTCTTTTTATAGGAGCATTATAAGCATAATAATATTATAGTAGGTTGATCTCTTTTATGTTATTGTCAGTTACTTACACCAGTGTGATAACTTGAGAATTGAGATATTGTTTGTAAATGTCAGAACTCTGAAATGCATCAGTCATCTGTTAAAGAGAATACATAAGGTCAAACATCAAATTCCAATAATATATTTATATTTCAGAGAATTAACAAGAAAAACACTAATTTACCTTAGTCTCAAGAATTGTGCTAAGATAGTTATTTTCTGATGATGTCTCTTTTTCATAATTTCTATTATGTGGGATATTCAAAACCTTAAAGTTACCTTGGTAGTAGTAGACTCTGTTTTCTGTGAGATAAAGAAATAATCCAAGAATTATTTAAGTGAAATGGGTTTACAATCCAAATATAGATTACATGGTAATATCAACTAATAAGAACTGTGCTTACATTAGATATTGATAAATGCTGTGAATCTTTCTGGCATGTTTTTTATTAGATAACCTAGGCATTGTGAAAATTATTTATAAGACCAAGATTGAAGTAGATATGTATTAGAAAAAAATCATAAAAAGTTGATACTGAGTCTCAGTGGATAGAGCGTCGGCCTGCAGACTAAAGGGTCCCAGGTTCGATTCCAGTAAGAGAATGTACTTTGGTGTGGCTACATCCCCAGTAGGGGGTGTGCAGGCAGCAGCTGATTAATATTTCTAACTCTATCCCTCTCTCTTCCTCTCTGTAAAAAAATCAATAAAATATATGTTTTTTAAAAGTATTCAAATTCATGTTTTATAATTTACTATTCACAATGAATGCTTCAGTTCTTTAATTAGATTCTTGAATATTTGTATCTGTTACAGCAATTAGGCACCCATGAGTATTTTCAATGTAAAAAACAATAAATTGGCAAGATAAGAACAATTTTTGTTTCAACTGCATGGAGCATTTCCCCCCAGGTACAGTGGATAAACTGAATATGTAATTGTCTAAGACATTTAAGACTAAAAAACCATACTCTGGAACAAGGAATCAACTCTTGAATATCATATTTTTAATTTAATTTTATGCAGCAATCCTAATGGGCCACTGGGATTGCTCGCTATGCTGGGCCACTGTGCATAAGCCATTGTGTTCTGTTAGTACCTGATGAGATGAAAATAATCCCTTAGGGATGGGGTATTGATAAGGCTTACTTGCACTTTATGATTAATATTCCCATCTCTATTGGTTCAAATACCAATAAGAATTGAAAAACATGAAAAAGGGGCAGAAAGAAGGAACATGTTTTGCAATTTTTCCATGTGTTGGTTACTTATAACATTTCTATAAGAAAAACTTACACAAACACATGATGTTGTCATTTTGGTGGATTAGTCTATACTAGGAGTTCTCTATTTAATAACAGTTTAAGCATCAATTATAAAAACATTTATATTTGAAGCTGTCAGAGTTTAAAAACACTTCTCCTGCTTTAAATTCAGGGGAGAGGGGGGGAAGAGATAAGAAAAAAAGGTGGAGGGCTCAAGTTGAAGGGAAAGAAAAGAAAACATCCATGACTCCAAATAAAAAACTATAAAGCAAATATGACAAGAACTGAAATATACACTAAGGTGTGAAAGGGTATAGAGCAGAAATTCATCTCCTCCCAAGTTGAGATGATCAAAAGTTCTCAATGATTCTATGATTCTAGTAATAAGACTTGAGATTGTAGAAAAAGATAAGGGATATTTCTGTAGACAATTATTTTGACACTGCAGAATGATGATAGTGAAAATAAAAGTGAAATCATACTACTGTGACATTTTTATTATGTGTGGTCAAATCTCCCAGCAGAGGCAACTTGCTGGAGCCAAATGGGGTGAAAAATGGAACAAGTCAGAATCACTCTGCCATGATTCAGAAAGTGTAAATCAAGGAACTATCCTCAGGACCACCTTGGCTTCTTAAGTGTTAAAAACTGAAGGTAAATGTGCCCCAGTGTTAAAGAAAAATAACAGACTGAATAAGAGAACATTTGAGAGGACAAACCAAAATATAAATTCCAAACTCCCTTAGCCTATAAGCCACCCCTAGTCTCACTTCCCACAATAATCCTTTGAAAACAGTCTTGTCCAAATCAAAAAGAGTACTTAATAATTACAAAGGATCCAGTAAGAAGCTTTTTATTATTATCATGAAACAAAGAAAAAGTTTTTACTAGGACTTCCCATTGTCTTAAAAATATTATAGAATAAAGAACTCAAAATAGCTGAAGCTGGTTTGGCTTAGTGGATAGAGTGTCAGCCTGCAGACTGAAAGGTCCCAGGTTCAATTCCCATCAAGGGCATGTATTACATTGGTTGCGGGTACATCCCTGGTGAGGGGTGTGCATGAGGCAGCCGATCAATGATTCTCTCTCATCGATGTTTCTAGCTCTCTATCCCTCTTCCTTCTTCTCTATAAGAAATCAATAAAATATATTTTAAAAAAAAGAACTCAAAATATACAATTTAGTGAAGAAAAGCTAGCGGATTTAGTAAAGAAATGGAAGAGGAGCCCTGTCTGGGTGGCAAAACATCATCCTGTACACCAAAAGGTTGCGAGTTCAATTCCCAGTCAAGGCATGCACCTAGGTTGCGAGTTTGATCCCAGGTGGGAGTGGGTATGATAGGCAATCAATGTTTTTTTCACATCAATGTTTTTCTCCCTCTACCTTCCTCTCTCTAAAATGAATAAACATATCCTCAGCTCAGGATTTTTATACAAAATTTCTATGCTATTTATTAAGGTTCAGTGTAGAATTAAGACATTTTCAGGCATGCAAGTTGTCCAAATGTATACTTCTCAGAAAGCTCCTAGATATGCCACCATAATTGAGTAAATAACATAATAAAAATAAAATATGGGATGCAGGCATTAGAAAATTAAGTCCAATATACAATTGAAAGTAATCCCCAAGATGTTACTGAAGGAAAATCCCAAGTGAACTATGTAGCCAGGATGTGAATGAATACAGAATCCTCATAGTCCATAGAATAAAGTGAATATATAAAACCAATAGTTGAAAAATTAGGACATAACAATATTATGAATCAACTGAAAGAGTTGAAAGTGGTTGCTTCTGAGAAACTGGAAATAAAGAAGGAGGAGCTGCATCCTATATAATAAATAGGTAATATGCAAATTGACCCCTCACACCATGACACAAGATGGCCATCCCCCATGTGGTCAAAGATGGATGCCACAGATGGTCAGAAGGGGAAGGCAGTTGGGGGCGACCAAGCCTGAAAGGAGGGAGGGCAGTTGGGAGAAACCAGGCCTGCAGGGGAGGGCAGTTAGGGGCAACCAGGCCTGCAGGGAAGGCATTTGGGGAAAGGGGACCAAGTCTTCAGGGAAAGGCAGTTGGGGGCAATTGGGCTGGCAGGGGAGCAGTTAAGTGTTGATTAGGCTGGCAGGGGTGTGGTTAGGGAGTGATCAGGCTGGCAGGCAGGTGAGTGATTGGGAGCCAGCACTTCTGGATTGTGAGAAAGATGTCTCCCAATGGGTCCCAGATTGGAGAGGGTGCAGGCTGGGCTGAGGGACACCACACCATGCACGAATTTCAGGCAGCAGTCCTCTAGTTTTTTTATAAAAAGCTCTGCCACTTTAAATTATGAGTATATATAACTTTGTAGGGGGAAAATGCAATAATGCCAAAGTCATGAAAAAAAGTTAATGATATGCATATTCAAAACTAAAAAAATAACAGTAGTAATTATGATTACAGACCAGAAAGAAGTGTTATAAACATTGAAAACATAAGATAATAATATTACTTATAAACTGCAGGGAAGTTTGGGAGAAAAATGAGAAGTATGCTGATTTTTTGTCTTTCATAGTAGAATGTAAATATAATATTGTCTACAGTTAAAACATTATTTTTAATAATAACACTAACTATCCTCATGTTTTCAAAATATTTTATCTATGTTAAAGGAAATTTTATATTAATATTTTATTAGGAATAAAAATTAGTCAAATGCAATATTATTTGTTTTCTCTTCTTCACATAAAATAAGTAATACTTTAAATATAAATAACATATAATACCATCTTGATAGAGTACTTTTCCTGTCTATCAAATATGTATTTTTGCATTCATATCTCTATATGGTATATATTCTTCTATCTGTGATCCCAGAAAAAAACATTTAAATAGAAATAGTTCATTGCTTGCAATTGTCTCTTTTTTTTTTTGTAGAAATGGAAATAAAGTTTACAACAAACTATAAGTAAAAATGTATTTTTTACCAACCTACTACCAGAAAATGAACCAGGAGACCAATAATTATTCCCAGGATTGCCAACACTCCAAACACAATGAGGACAATTATCCATAGTGGCAAAGATGTACGGGAAGTTGTGACTGGTCTGCAAGAAAAGGACATAAATATGAAGGATGTATTTTAAAAATTAGTCATTCTAAATATTTGTTTCTCCTTTTGCCCATATCTAGAAGCCCCACAATTCAGGCACAGTAATAGCAAAATATATTTTAAGAGAGAGAGAAAGAGAGAGAGAGAAAGAGGGAGAGAGAGAGAGAGAGACAAGGAGGGAGGAAAAGAGAATACTAGTAAAGGAGGAGGGAGGGAAGAAAGAAAGTCCATGAGCTTACCTTTATAATCAAACCTGTCTGGATCTGTGCTATGAAATTATTTCTCAGGAGTTTAATGGTTGGTACGCCAAATTATCTATACTTAGCATCTAATTCCTTCTCATGATCAGTGGATAGTGATAAAGTTGAAATCAGTAAATAACCAGCTTTCCAGGTTGCAGGATAAGAGGGGTGGAGAATTGAAATGTCTTAGGAGTTTTTAATGCCTAATCATATCATAATGTTTGAAGTATGATCATAAGCCTATCTTATTTATTATGTCCTTATTATATACAAAACACAACAAATATGAAGTGCTATATTTGGTCAAAGCAGTGTTCATCTCTCTTATTATTATAGTTTCTTTGTGGATATGATTGAAAATGATCTTTTATAGACAAGCATGGTATGACCAACCTACAACAAAGTATTTTCACTGTGTTTCATTTCTACAGCTAGAGGCCTGGTGCATGACATTCATGCAATGGAGGGTGTCCTCAGCCCAACCTGCGTCCTCTCACATTCAGGGACCCCTTGCTCCTTACTGCCTGCCCGCAATGGAGGCAGGAGAGGCTCCCACACTGCCGCTGCACTTACCAGCTGTGAGCCTGGCTTCTGGATGAGCAGTGCTCCCCCATGGGAGCACACTGACTACCAGGAGGCATCTCCTGCATTGAGTATATTTCCCCTCGTGGTCAGTGCACTTCATAGTGACTGGTCAATCCATGTTTGGTCAATTTGCATATTAGGTTTTATTATATAGGATAAATATGTGTTTAGAGCCACTGCTTAAGTTGAAATATGTGTAGAACTTTCCAGAAAACAACGCATGGAAACGTGTCTAGGAAGAGAAGACAACATGTAGTGCTCAAAGAATAGCCAGCAATTCAATTTTCTTGCAGGAAACTGTTAGTTATAGATTGGCCAAAGATGAAGTTGGATAATGTAATGATTAATTTTATGTCAACTTTGGCCAAGCTTGGTCCCAAGTTGTTTGGTCAATCACTAGTCTACATTTTGCTGTGAAGATATTCTGTGGTAAACTTTTATGATCAGTTGGCTTTACAAAAAGATTACTCTTGATAATAAAGGAGATAATTCAGCCTCATCCAATCAGATAAAGTTTTCCAGGGCCCAGCTAAAGCTGAGGTTTCTGGAAGAAGAAGGAATTCTGTCCTGGGAGTGTAACATAGAAATCATACTTGAGTTTGCAGCCTGCCAATTTGTCCTATAAATTTCATATTTGCCAATTTCACAACTGTGTTAAGTTATTCCTTAAAATAAAGCCACTCACTCTCCAGATGATAGATAGATGATAGATAGATAGATGATAGTAAGGTTAGATAGATATAATGAGTGCTATTTAGATAGATAGATATATAGATAGATATAAATTTATGGGCATATAGATATACAGTATATAATTTATTATATCCAATAGGATCTACCTATTATCTATCTATCTATCTATCTATCTATCTATCTATCTATAAAAAGAGGTATCCTATAGGTTCTGTTACTTTTTTTCTTTTTCTTTTTTTAACAGTAGCAGTGTGGTTTATTAAGCTGGGCCTTAGTACAGGTGCTAGGGCTTGCCCATGGTGCTCTCAATATACAAAGCTGGGACATGCTGCCAGTTCTTTTTGAGCAATGACATCAGAAATTGATAGCTAAGTGGATATTGTACACATGCTCATTTTCAGTCATCTTCAAGTGGGCAATAGCCACTGCCAGACACAGCATCTTCATCTGGTACTGGATAGCAAATTTCACCTCATCGGCTTTGGCCACCATGTTCTCATTATGGTGGGTCAACAAGGAAGGGAACTTGTGAACCTTATTCAGTCCTGGGCCCCAGATTCGTGGGATGTGCTTGATCAGGGACTCTGAAGCCTAAAAGGCATGGTACATCTTCACCAATTTCTTCTTTTTGTTGAGTTTTTTCAGCTCCTCGATGTGCATGTGGGAGAGATCCATCCCCTTGGCCTCATTTCAGTGCTGCTGGTGCCCCAGAGCACATACAGAGAATTTGGGGTGGGGATTAGACTTACACGGATGGTGCCCAAGAAGCATTTGTCCTTCTGAGGGTCATAGTTCTTCAAACTGATCTACAGTCTCCAAAAACTTCCGATGCTTGCGCTGGTTCCTGTGCAGGACTTCCTGCACCACCTCAGTGTTGCAGGAGACTTTGCTGCTCATGATTCCTAGCTGCAAAACTAGGTTCTGTTTCTTTAGAGACTCCTGACATCAACAGAGAGGCAACACCTTTGATGTCAAAACAAAGATAATGATATTTTTGTCTTATATGGTGGGTCTCCTCCAAATGTGATTGGAGAATGACCTTAGCCAGACATACCTGGGAGTGTTTTTTAACTATACAGATTAGTGTATCCTACCTCAGATCTAATGAATTCAGATTCCTAAAAGGGCCTGAGAATCTGCACTTTAATGTTCCTGGTGCTGCAGATTCTCACTTAACCATGTCAACACCAGGAGCTGTGTTTATGATATATGAGTTTTCAGTTCAAAATTAATTGGGTTGATGTTTTCAAGAGAAAAAAATTTTTAATCCTCACAATTTTTTTACTCTCTTTGAAAACTATTTCATATTTCTTTTCCTCAAACCTCCAGCACCGTCTGGTCCATCCTCAGGCTTAGCTGATAGCCTTACTTCCTAGACTACTGAAAAAATACAAGGCATCAGAGGAGAATATTTACAACTCCATTATCATATTTTTGAACTTTTTATCTGTTTATCTTCTACCCTCTGCTTTTTTGACATAGTTCTATAAATAAACTATGCCTCTGTGATATACCAACCTCTTCACCATCTCATTTCACTTTTAAACCTGTGTTTCCACCTGTTTCTAATCTATGTGCCAGTCATTTCAAACTACTTAGCGTTCCATGGACAAACCAACTCTTCCACATTTCCATATTCCTGCATATTCTGATCTTCTACCTAAAATGTCCACCTCAAGTCTACCCAGTGAGATTACATTCAAACTTTATTACTCAACTCTGTCATCCCCTGCTCACTGATGTCTTCCTTGGCCCAGCCTATTATGGGTCTACATTGAAAGTAGTTTTTCATTTTTATATGACAATTATTTTATTTCTAGCTGTGACCATATTGTAGTCTGGGGCCATGTTATTATTTGTTATTTTATACTTAGGGAGCAGGGTGGTGTCTAGCACATTATAGATAACTAGAGGCCTGGTACACAAAATTTGTGCATAGAGTGGGGGGTGTTCCTCAGCCCAGCCTGCACCCTCCCTAATATGACACCCCTCAAGGAATGTCTCACTGCCCATTTAGGCCAGATCCCGGATCAGACCAAAACGGGCAGTTGGACACCCCTCTCACAATCCAGGACTGCTGGCTCCCAGCCACTTGCCTGCCTGCCTGATTGCTTCTATCTGCCTGCCAGCCTGATAACCCCCTAACTACTCCCCTGCCAGCCTGATTGATGCCTCGGTAGGGGAGTAGCATCTACCTGATAATCCCCTAACCCTCTCCTGTTGACCTGATTGCTCCTAATTGCCCTCCCCTGCCAGCCTGGTTGTCACTAACTGCCCTCCCTACAGGCCTGGTCACCCCCTACTGCCCTCCTTTGAAGGCCTGGTTCCCCCCAAATGTCCTTCCCTGCAGGCCTGGTTTCCCCCAACTGCCCTCCCCTGGAGGCCTGGTCACCCCTAACTGCCCTCCCCTGCCAGCTTGGTCCCTCCAAATTGTCCTTCCTTGCTGACCTGATTGCCTACAACTGCCTTCTACTGCCCCCCATCTTGTGGTGGTCATCTTGGGTCCATATGGGGATGGCCATCTTTGACCACATAGGGGTGCAATCATTTGTGTTGGAGTGATGGTCAATTTGCATGCTATCTCTTTATTAAATAGGATACTTTTTGAAGAAGTAAATGCATGAAGCCAAGGGATATTAAGGACAACTAAATTATGAAGGATAGTTATATCATAGGAATACAGTTTGTGGAAAGACTTCAGTGCTAATCAGAAGAGCCACAACTATCATGAAAACCTGTGCTGCTTAAGAATAGGAATCTGCCAGTAGTCTGCATGATGGTAATTAAAGAAGAGAGAAAAAATGAGAAGAACAATGAGTAAAGAGACTACTGTAACCTATGGGAATGTAACGATGGAGTCCTGGATGGTGGTAGCAAGAAAAGAAAGTGATTAATTTGAGAAAGATTACAATATTATATTTGTCAGAATTTTATAATTAGTTAGCTATATTGGTAAAGAATGACAATATATTAAAGATAACATAAGTCTTTATCTCAAGAAATAAAGAAGAGTAAATGAAGCCTAAAGGCGGTAACTTGAGGATAAAAATTATAAATATTTTATATTTTGAGTTTGAGAGACATTTAAATTTCCATTATACTGTACAACTAGAAATATCAGACTGATAGTTAACATTGTTGTGGATACTATCTGAGGAGTCATCCAAAAAAACAGGAAAGAAACAAAGCTGTAACTAGTGTATTATGATGCATGCTGTATAAAATATTATGCAAAATTTATATTTCCCTTTTTAAGACAAAAATTTGTTTCCATTCTAACTAATACTAATTTCTTGATTTTTCATACATTTCTTAAATTTTACAGTCATATTGTTTGATGTCTCTCAAAAGAGTTTATAGTGTCAGCATGTTTCTTAAGTGTCAAATTCAAAATATTGTTCACCCTTCATTGAAAGGTTAGCCACTTACTTCATATCATAAGCATTCAACTGCACCAAAACTGCTTTGCTCATTGCTTGGTTCTCTACACCCTTGGCCCACACCCTTTCTTTACTTTTCTGTCTCCCATGAACTCTTTTTTTTTTTTTTCCTTAATAGTGTCTTAACTGGAGGTTGTATTTATACGTTTCTTACTTTGACTAGTTTTATTTTTAAATATTTACCTTCATATAGATTTGGGAATTTTTTTTCTCTTATTTCTACAGTTTAAGAACTTGTACCATATAAGAACATAAGTAAATTGAAATCTATCAAAATTTAATCAAACCAGATGTCTTAGAATTCATTTAGACACAATCGTTTGAAAAAGAACTAAAATAACAATCTCATTTTCAACTGTCCTTCATTGAAAACAGTCTAGAATTGTATATTTACACTTCCTCTCCTCTTTGTCCACTTTGATTATTGCTTGTTACCAGCTCAGATGCTCCTCTGGGTTCTAACAATCTTTAACTCATAACCTAAACATCTTACAAACCATTATACAGATTAAATAGCTGCTTAAAAGTGACAGACTTCCCAGGAAGAAAAATCTCTCAGCTACTTAGTCAATCTTTCTGGTAGTTCATGCTAGAAATTCTTCTGGGAGGTAAAATCACATAAAATAAATTACTGAAAAAGCATGCAGAATATTAATTATATCTTGTTATCAAAAACTCTTAACCATGAACTACTTTGTCACGCTATCTTGGCAAGTATCTAGAACACAACATTCTTTTGAGATTTTTCCTATTTTATCCTGTAGGACTATAATTTTAAAAAATTAAATTGATAAAATGTGGTTTAGAAGTCTTAACTTCCACTCCCAGTGTTCCTTTTCTTCTCTTGGTGTTCATCATTCAGGCAGCCAAGTGCAACCACAGGATTGATTAAGGTCTCTTCAAATGCACTTGCAGAATCAATTATGTTGCCAAATCCACTCAATGTCTTCCTGATAATCAGATTAATGCCTCACTCTGACTAGCTAACCACTGAATTAGGGCTTAAAAGCTTTCCTAGGTAACTAGGAATGCTTAGAAACAATGGGTTAATCCTTTGAAATCTTTTAGGTTGGGAGTTCACACAAGTATCAAAATGTTGAAGGAGATGAAGGAGGTGCCCTATGAATAAAAAGAAAATCACTCACCCAGCATAAAAGTGATGACTATATTATAAGCAAAACAAAACAAAGCAATCATGCTGTTTCCTCTCTCTGTTAAATGTGTATAATTACTTTTTTCCCCCCTGATATATCAGAGCTGAGACTAATAGGAAAACATCAGGGTAGGAGTAATATAACATCTTTAATTAAAAATATTTACTTTAGCTCAAGAAAAAATATTCTTACCATATCTTATTAAAGTATTATTATAATCTTTCTAATAACATTTTTATGTGAATATTAATGTAAAAAAACTATGTGTGTGTGTGTGTGTGTGTGTGTGTGTGTGTGTTTGTGTGTCTTAAAGGGCTCAACTAATGGCTCAAGATGAACCTATTTATATAAGGTATGCATTCATATTACACAGTTACCTGAACATAAAATATTTTATAATTAGTTTCACTTAATTTTGCTATTTTGCATTCATTTTTATGAAAATGCTTTGAGAAATAAAAGTAAGCTTTTAAAATGGCATTATCACTGTTCACTTCATGTAATAATTATCTAGTTAGATACTAAATTAAAAATAAAAAACACATGTTTATACATAATTAAACCATCTTAATTCATGATTATTTTACAGATAAAATTACATGATTAATATCTGATTAAAAGTAACAGACTTCCTAGGTTTTATGTATGATTCTACAAAAAAAACAAAAAACAAACAAAACCAGCTATGAAGCAATAATACTGTAAGATTCAAGAGAATATTCATGATAGCACTTTAAGAAGCACAAAATGTTAAAAAAAAAACAACAAAAAAAACAAGTAACTCATAATCATGATCACCAGCAATAACAATTTAACATTTTATTTATAAGAGAAAAAAATCTCCTTGTTTCCTCTTTTCCATTTTACAATAAGTCACACGTCTGTTAAGCTGCATGTCACCTTTCTGAAGCACTCCCTGAGTCACTGCACAAAACTACAAATTCCAAATCAAAAATTGTGTGTAGGTGATAGGGTTGTCTCCAGGCAGGAAACTTTAAAATCTGTGGAAAAATTACAAACTCCTCCTAAACTCAATTATCTTACTACAGTCCTTGGGTGGTAGTCATATTGAGGAAAAAGTTTAGTTTTATTTTTGTCGGAATTTCAGGCGAGCAAATCTCCACTTACCTATACATAATGTGCCGATATATTGGCTGTTGATGTCGAAAGCAATAAAGGAAACTTCTGCACTTCTTTGTCCTGACCAGTGGTTCTCGCGTAAATGTGCTAACCACAATGATACCTGGGATTTTAAGGGTTGGGTGCAATAGCAGAGGGTAATTAAAGAGAAACTTGTTTAACAAGTGTTGGTGACAGCTGTGCCTCTGCGGTTTAAAGGAAGAACTGAAAATCACTCTTTGAGTTGTATACTTAGAAAAAGATAGTAGCGTCACTTGGGTTGGTTGCCTGAGAGGTCCGCCCAAGAAATGCCACCAAATATTGGTGAATCAGTGCTCTGACTCAGATTCCATTCATTCTTTTTTGATACAGAGCTCTTCCACATGAAACCAACTCTACTCACCAGAGCAGTCTTTGGCAAATGACTTAAATATGCACTGTTGTTTTTTGTGTGTTTTTAATACAATAACTCAGCTACAGCATTACTCATTTGTAACATGCTTCATCTAAAAACTCTAACTGGGTTTATAATTATATAGAAATAGATTTACAGATAGAGATAGTTTTTGGTGTAAGAAACATCAGTCCTATTTTGGTAATTATTTTAAAAGTGGAACTAATTGATCTAGTCAAGAGTTATATTATTAAGTAAATATGGATTAAGTTTTCGGGTCACAAAATTTTTACAAAAAGAAAAGGAAGTAATTTAGATATTTTGGATACAAATATCTAGATTCTTAGCACCATCTTTCATATTTTTAACCATTCACTCAGTCCATTCATTTATTTAACAATTATTTGTCATGTATTTCCTGAGGCTGCACATTGTTCCTAGTAGTGAAAATACAATGCTGGATATAATAAATTTTCTGCCTTCATGAAGCTAATACTTGAATGGGAAGTACAAACACTCAATAAAGAGCAATTATATAATTTAATACAAAATATTTATACATGCTATAAAGAAAACAAAGCAGAGTAATTGGTTTGAAAGTAATGTATATGTATATTGGTGAGGGGGGGGGGGGGTAGGGCAGGGAGAAACAGGTGTAGCTATCTTCAGATTGGCCAGAAAGGTCTCTCTAAGAAGAAAGCTTTTGAATAGACACCTGAATGATGATACTAATCGTCATGACATTTCTCTATCTTCAAAGTTCTAAATTGCTTTTAGGATAAAAGATAAACTTCTTCAGTTGATGTTCAAGTCTCTTTAGAATGCCATCTTTTTTTTTTTTTTTTTTTTTTTTTTTTTTAATCCATGTTGTTCCATAGTAGTTTGTTGTAACAGAAAGGGCATGATCTCTATTCCAATTCCAGTTCTTCTAGTAACTAGCTGTGTGATATGTCTCTGAGCTTCAGCTTCCTCATGGGCAAAAGTGACATCTAACAATAACATATCTGTAAAGTTGTTGCATCAACTGACACCATATGTACCAAGTGCTTGGCACAAAGCTCAGGACATTGTATTATCTTAGCAATTATTTTGTCTAAAGATTAACTTCACTTAAGCCATTTCTTATAGTTTCATTTCTTTAAGGAAAGTGCTTCCCACCCTCCATCCTTTTATTTGTGCTATTTAATACTCTCAGGATTGCCATTCCTACCCACCCAATGTTTATTCCTGCTTCATGGTCCAACCTAATTGCCACTTCCTTTTTCTGCTGCCTCTAAGTACCATTGTCAGTACTCATTTTGGATTTAATCATCTGCTATGTTACTGATTCCTATTTAAATTTGTCCTTGGGGTGGTCCTATCATCTGAATGAAAGTGAAAGTTGCTTGAACTTCGAAGGCACTGACCGTATCTTATATATCTGTTTTTCATCATAATCATCAGAGTGCTTAGTATCCAATATATGTTTAGTAATTAAATTATATGTTTTAAATAAATGATTAACAACCATACTATATGTAGACATCCTAAAAGTTAACAAAACATTGAATAGCTTAATATTAAATATAAGTAGGATTTACAGTATTCACAGAAGAAATATGGGTGTTCACTTGGCATATAAAATGATAATCAGTATCATCCACTAGTAATTATAGAAGTATCATTAAAACAATAATAAAAGACACTAAAATTAAAAATATTATTTCAATATTTGGTAAGCATGTGGAGAAATGGGCTCTCCTATGTTGATGGTAGGAGTTAGAATGAGGTAAAAACTTTAGAGGGCAATTTGGCAGCATCTATTTAATTTTAAAACTATATTCCCCATTACCAATTAGTTTCACATCTAGGTATCTATCTAAATATCTCTCTTGGCACAAATAATCAGATAAAAATATAGGAAGAAGTTTATTACAAAGTTTGCATAAGCAAAAAAATGAAAATAAATTATTAATTGGTAGAGAAATGGTTAAATAAACTATGGTACTTCAATATTATGGAATATTAATTCAATGTTAAAAGGAATTAGGTTAGACCTGAAGGGTCTCAGGTTCAGTAGTGATTGAGTACTGGTACCTCAGTTTCAGGCTCAATCCCTGGCCCTTGTCAGGGCACATACAGGAGGCAATCAATCGAAGTGTCCCACTCACATTGATGTTTCTCTCTGTATGTGTGTGTGTCTCCATCTCCCTTCTACTCTCTAAAATTCAGTGAAAAAATATCCTCAGGTGAGTATTAACAAAAAATAATAATAATAAATAAAATTTTAAAAAGGAATGAGGTTATTAATAGTGTGTTGACTCATTCATCCTCCATTCTACATTTTCTTTTAATGCTGTAGATATTAGAAAGCTAAAAATTACATTTCCCAGACTCCCTTGCAGCTAGGATTCTTTATACAAATTAGATTCTGCCAGCTAGTTGCACTCACATGAAACTTGGAAGGGAGAAACAAGTCAGAGGCCTTCAAAGGCATAACTGAGGCCTTATGGATTTATGTTAGTGAAAGGTCATGGATATAGAATATTTCTTATTGCAACATTTTACTGTCATTGTTCAACTTGCTGGGGGCCAAGAAACAATTTTCGAGTAAGCAGAGACCTGAGCAACTTGTGGGTGTAAAGAGAGTGTAGTGGTAATATCATTGGTGCTAGTGTCTTTCTGATCCCTAGATCTTATGTATTTAATTTGATGGTGCCAGTTGCAGTCTCTTCCCATGGGTATCAGTTCTCTCGTGTTCTATATATCATTCTTGAGGCTAGAGCCTAGTCCTTCAGTCCTTCCAACAGTTTTTGAAGTACCTGATATCCTATTTCAAATTCCTTTCTTTTAAAATGTCTTTCCTCCTCTAATCCCTGATTGATATGTTGTTGACCTATATAGAAAGATTTTGCCCTCGCTGGTGTGTCTCAGTGGGTAGAGCATCAGCCTGTGGACTGGAGGGTCCCAGGTTTGATTCCGGCCAAGGGCACATGTCTGGGTTGTGGGCTCAATCCTCAGTAGGGGGTGTGCAGGAAGCCGCCAATCAATGATTCTCTCTCATCATTGATGTTTCTATCTCTCTCTCCTTCTCTCTTTCTCTCTAAAATCAATAAAGAAATATATTAAAAAAAAGATTTGAATAAAAATATGGGATGCAGAATGGTAATTCAATGTGCCATTTATACTTAAAATAAATAGTAAATAATACTTTACATTTTTAATGGATACTGATATATGTACTAAAATTAATGTGTTGTAAAGGAAAAGATAAATAAATATATGAAAAGATATGGAAGAATTAACAAAACAGTGATTATCTCTGAGGGGAAGGAAAGAGACCAGAATTGAAAATGATAATTTAAAAAAAGTTTAGTTTTATTTAAAATGGGTTCATTGTTTTTTCCACAAAGATAATGTATTGATATTATTTATATAATTTTAAAATTTTAGATATATTTATGAAATATAAGCTTATCCTTGATGAAGATCTGAATAAAAAATAAGTTGGAATTGGCAATAAAATACAGTTTCCCAGGGAGTTAGGACCAAGTTAATATTGACTAAAAATAAATTGTATTTGTTGTCTTTATATAACCTTTCTTGATGAAATGATGGCTTAATGAGAATAAGCATAATATCTATGAGAGCACAGTAGATAAAAGTTTCTCAAAGATGTGAGCTAATTTTTAAAAGATGATAAGAGTATACCAAGGGAAAAACTCATTGAAGGACATTCTAGACAAGGAGTGTGCTGTTTGGAAAGGCCCAATATAGCATGTTTCAGAAATCTTAGTAGTGTGATTAGGTCACAGGTTAGATGCAAGGGCATCATGGGAGATAAAAGAGACATAATGTAGCAGCAAGATCTTGATAGTATATTTCAGTTTTATTCAATTGAACATAATGATAACCTCTGTTGAAGAAGCCACAAGGCCAGGAACTCATAAATGAAAAAGGAACCTTGAGAAGATCAGTGTCTAGTAAGACATTCAGATGCATAAACAGCTCATTTTTACATCTTGTGGAAAGTGAAATGACAGGTGTAGGTCCGGGACAATCTGGAGCACCAGCAAGTCATAATAAAGAATTTTGGTTTTATCTTCAATGGGTGTTGGAACTAAGAATGGAATAGAATTTTAAGCAAAATATAGAGGTGCTTATAGACTAAGTCTCCTTGATTATTACTACCTCATCCCTGCTCTGTTAATGACTTAGATAAGTTTCTCTAATTCTTTATATTTCATCAAATGACTGGGAAGGAAAATGTGGAGACAATGTCTCATTACCCTGGCTCGTGATGTTTGCATTGTTAATTTATTTTTTGTTAAGTGAGATAAACCTGACTTTAAAAAGTATTAATGTAGGCTCATAAGACTAGAGATGGTTATTTAATGGAATTTTTGTGTAATTTGTACCCATCTACTTAGTAAAAATAAAATTTGATTTATTCAACCATGAATGTCAATTGTGACAAACTACATCTTGATTAATTGATTGATTGATTGACTGGTTGATTAATTATAAGAGAAAGTTTATAAAGTCACAGAGGCAAAAGAAGGACTCTTGGAACTGTGACAAATTTTAAATGAAGATAATTCAAATTTTTATGGAAAAATTATATAATTATTTTATTTTCAGAATTAAACAAAATATAGAATACAACATATTAAAATAACATAATTTCTTTTTCTAGAATCCTTTAACTACTGTAAACTGCAAATTAGAAATACATTTGACACATCATGCAAAATATTTCAAAAAGAGCTTCTTCTGAAAATTTTGTTTGCATTGAAATTATGATAACAAGTAAAAGTCTT